CATCTGATGCTTGCGGTTGGGATAAGCAGCTAGTGCTTCATTAGTTTGTTCAACATTGTCAACTTCCCGTTTAAGACGTCTGAGTTTTAGATAAATGGGATCATTCCTGACATAATGGTGCCATTTAACTCTCATTTGCATGGAAGGCGGAACTGTTGTACATTTCTCAAATGTCATTTTTGGCCGTTTGTTAAAACAGTTGTCTCTATCCGAAGATTAAGTAATATTAATATAAGTTCATAGACTGAAAACTGAAAAATTCATTAAAACGGTTTATGTATGCATAAGCAAACGAATAAGTTAGCCAATCGAATGATTGACCAATAACGACATTTCGCCTCGCCCCTCACGAACCTTCTTCAAGGTGGTTTCTGTAGTTGATTGTATGGTCTGCAGCTGTTTCGGCGTCTGGATCCGGTGTGCGTTTGGCCGATATTGTTGGTCAAGTTGTTTTTGGAGCACGGGCTTGATATGGCTTGCCCAATCTGCACAAAGTTGGTATCCTTTGTCCTGGTTGTATTTTTGCAGGATTGGATAATTAGGGCTTCTATGATTCATCTGCTTGGCCTTTTTCGTTCTAAAATAATGCCCGTGAAATCTATCTATTGGGCGGGGGGATAGGACCTTTTTTTGCTGCGTGTTGCGCTATCTTCAAGGCCTTTTAACACCGTTATTTGACTTTGTTATGGAGAAGGCTTTTTCTTCCTCGATTCTTGTTGCCGCGTATGGTTCGCGTTTGTCTGCGGACATTAATTTTTTTCAGTTTTACAGGTTGTCTTTTTTCTTTGGGTGATCGGTATTACTTGCAATAAGGTAGTTTGTAAATTCAACCTAGAGAGTTGTTTTTATCACAGGTTATAAAGTTTTAATTAAGTTGAGATTTTTTATATAATATGAATGTTGTATTTAGTGCTAAGTGTGTGATTTCTCACTGATATTTTATTACGTTGGAATTGAGTAAAGTTTATTATTCAAAGGGTTACTTCATGTGTTATCGGTGTCGCAGGTAAATTTAAAATAACTAATTCTCTGATTTATTGTAATGTTAATGAATTTAAGAGGATATTATTTTTATCACACAATGTTGTCTTAATGTGTTTGTTTTTTTTGAAAAATTCATTATTTATATTAGAGTTTAAGAACTCTGTCTGTAATTGCAGATCTTTTCATATTTAGA